ATAACTCAATCGCATGTGCGATAACAAAAAAACGAATCATGAACGTTGCCTCAAATTTAAATGAGCGCGCTACCGGCGTAGCACCAGACGCCAGATCGCTCATGGAGCGTCCATAGCTTAGTATAGTAAGTATCGCTTAGGCGATAAGGGAGGGGTACGTTTTGATTCGTTGCACCGCCCATTGGGCGATCGCCTGATCGCCTATCGCCTACTCGCCTACAACGCCCTATGGGCGGAGCAATCAATATGCATGTGGTCTTCCCGCCTAATCGCCTAATCTATACCTATATTTTCATTATAGACTAATCGCCTAATCGCCTACTCGCATGTACGATCGCAAGTTCCAAACGCTCCATTAGTTCACCCCATTTGATTATCTACTCATTCGCAATAGTCATTTCACGAATATCGGGCAAACCACGAGGATAAAACGCGGCACGAAGTTGTCTCTAGCACATGGTAAATGTCATTCCCAAAAAATTGCACCTCCGAACCAACCTTGAAAAACGTCGCTACACATCATGTTTCTGACTTGGTTTCATATCTAGTGTGTGAATTTGAAACCCTTTCCCCCTTTACTGGCCGTTCTAGTTTGGAAAAGGAACGATTCCAAACCTTTGGTGGGTGCAGCTAGTATCACTCACGTTCTTTTCTCCTAGATCCATTGGAGGTTGTGTGTCAGTGGCCTTGAAACCGTTGTGGTATTCCTCAATAACGGGATTGAATAGGTCTGCGAATAACGTGTAAGCCTCGGCATCAGGGGCGTATAGTCCGACTCCGGAATCGAGATTCTCGACACCGGACTGAATCACATCCAGCAGTGTAGCTCCCAAACGAGTTTTCTTTCTCTGGAATAGGAATACATACAGAACTTCGCTTTATGTTCTCATTAGCTTTCCATCTCACCTTCAGTTTGTCGACAACAACTTTTGTGAGATGCTTTTTAAGAAGAGATTTACAATCTTGAGCTCCTTGAAGTTTTGCGTAACCTTCTTCAATCTTCTTAACGACGTCCGGTGGAGCTGTCATTGTCGGAAAATGAGAATTGCTAACCCATTCCCCACTTTTATACGCTTTTTTTCTTATCGCCACCATTTGTCTAAACAGGATCCTTCTACAGCTCACCTGTCGAGCGAGCGGTGCACAAATTCTATCTATCAAATGCTCGTGATATTCGATGCGAAATACAAATTAAAATTTGGGCGCTCTCGTCGTTGAGGAACATTGAAGTGAATGAGTCTAGAATTTGAGACTAAGCTTTAGGGGGGGGGAGGAATTCTGGGGGAGGACATAAGCAACCTTTGCTCTGACTAGGTTTCTCCCTTCCCTTGGATCCTTCCCTTGTCAGTGGTGCTGGGTAGTGCAGCAAGACTGCCAGTAGTTTTTCTCACTTTATTACACTCAACTCTTAAGATGGGAAAAGGGCTGATTGAGAAAGTGCCGCATAACTCTGAGAAATTGAGATCGCGACGACCGTTGCCCCGTTGATCTTAGCGCATTGATGGGCGATTCTACAGTCGCTGTGCCCTGTTCAACACCACCTCTCTGACAATCTAATGCATCACGCGCATACGACCTGCGTCAAGTTGGGCCCGACACCCGCCTCGTTTTTGACTCGCTGCCAACAAATGGTCCATGCCTAGCTAGGTCGCCGAGGTCACATCTTTCGGTGCCAATTGCGCGTCAGTACGCATCCTCAGGGGATCCGTCGGTCTCCCAACTAGGTAAGTCACTCCATCTTCGACCTTCATTCTAGCCGTGAATTCCTCTTTTAAGGACGAATTCATGATTAGAATCGTAGGTACGAAAAGAAATTAATTATGGATTTGGGGGTTGGAAGGTGAGTAATTCACTTCTACTTGTAGTGATCTCATGACCTCCTAATAGGGTTGCCATTGACTTGGATCTGGGGTCTCTCTTGCGCAAATTTCGGCACCGGGGAAGAGTTATCAGTGCAGGCGACCTAAGATACTTTGGAGGCTCAATCTTGGAGCGGTGAGCCTGTGCACGCTCACCGATCATCTGATCACTCGCCGCAGGTCTATACGTGGCGAGGCCTTTCCAGCGTGAATTCGTCCTTCAACCCTTTGACTACTGGTGGGACACATGTGTCCCACTTTGTAGTCAAGACACTACCACAGTTCCAGGGAATATTGAGGCAGGAGGGCTCATTTGATGGCTGAACTGTGCACATATAGAGGCTTCCTAATTCCTACTATGTTCCCAAAGTTTTCAGAAAAGCTTGGCGAACGTGGCAGCTTTGAGTTTGCGGTAAATGGAGCTGAGTACGCTGTGTGCCCGTTGGAAAGACTGCAAGGAGGTCCTGGTAGTCAGCAATTGTCACGCTGACTACAACGCATGTGTTGCGCACAATGAAGGATGGATCGCGAAAAGAAGTTGAATGCCCTGAAGCTGTCTCCTTCTACAGCAGCATAATGGGCGGAGTAGATCTGTCTGATCAGAAATGTGCACTTTACGACTTCAATAGACGTTCCAGAAAATGGTGGTAAGGTGTACTATAAAATACTACAGGTGGCGGTTGTAAACGCATGGATAATATATCAGGAAATCCATCACGAGAAAACGAAGCTGATCAAATTCCTTGTTCCTCTTGCTCAGCAAATGATTGCGCAGGGGAGGGAAAGGACGGCTAACAGGCGCAAGCCCGGCATGGGGAGGCCACCAAAAAATTTCAGGAGGATCATCAACGTTGGGGACCATATGCCACTGCAGTTATCAAAAAGTCATAGACCATATAATGTTGACCTTTTCAAACTTTTTTTGTAAAAGTTTTCGGGTCATTGAAGACTTTAATATTGTAAAAAAATGTGTGGTTGTAGAATTGCCAATTTATTGAACAAAAAAATCATCCGAGCGGAAATGGTGTTATGACAAGACGGGCCGCTACCGCGCGCATGGTCCCTAGATCAAATCCCAGGTCACACCCAACGTACATCAGCCAAATTTCTACAGCTGGTTGCCTGTTGCTGGGAGGGATAATTGCAACGCAGAACACATTTATAACTCGATTCTAAAAAAGTCGTAGTCTAAGGGTTAAAGAAAAATCAGAACGGTTTTGGAAAGAAACCTTCTTCATGCTGCTGCCATGTTCTCGAGATACATTCAATACATCCATATTAACTGGTGAGTACATCTGGCTGCCTTCTATTAGGATGTCCCATGATTAGTGAAATAACTTTATATTTATTGCTATAAAAAATTCAAGAAAAATGGTAAAGGTCGTGAAACATGTTTCGCGAAAGTAGCACCCACATTATCCTACCTGAGCATTTGGTCAGCCCATTTACACGGTGCCTTACGTGGCTATTACATCAATTTTTCTAGAAACCTATTTTTGAGCTTCCTTCTTCACCATTTCCTGATTAGGATCTTTCAAACGCTGAACAACGTAGTGGATCGATCAGCAGATAGGTGAGGACAAACTTTTTCAATTCACGATTCGCCGCATTCCGGATTTGG